TTTTTTTTTTTTTTTGAGACTGGGTCTTACTGTGTAGCTCAAGCTAGACTGGATTCACTTCAAACTACTGGCAATCCTCATGCTTCATCCTCCTGAGTGCTGGGATTACAGGTATGTGCCACCATGTCCAGCAATGGAATTGCTTATAATCATATTTTGGTTATTGCACATTGTAAACATATATATTGTAACATACCCTATAGAAACATCTAGGACCGGCCAAATAGCTCAGTGGATTAAAGTGCCTACTTAGGCAGATGCAGGGGCTGGGAGTTCATTCCTGGGCCTGCAGTGCTGGCCCCTCCCCCAGGGCACGCTGAGACAGTGGTTGAGACTGGGCATGGTAGTGCATACCTGTAATCTCAGCACTTGGGAGGCTGCAAAAAAGGAGGATCACTATAAGTCCAATCTAAGCAGTGAGATCCTGTACACCCTATACACCCTGTCCTAAATACAAATAAATACATAAAACTTCTACATATTAGTTTTTAGTACAAAGTTTAAAAAATATTTAAAAATTACAAATGTTGGCCAGGTGTCATGGAACACACCTACACTGGAAGCACTCTGAGAGGCTGAGGTAGGAGGATTTGAAGTTAAAACCCAGCTGGGTAACCCAGCAAGTTAGAAAGATCTGATTTCTTTCTTTTTTTTTTTTTTTTCTTTTCTGTTGGAATTATTTTATTGAGAGATCAAAGAAGCTAACATTGTACATGGTAGAAGCAGCACTTCACTTGTCTCTTAAGGAAATGCCAACATTGACGAATAGGACAGAACCGAATCTTCATAGTTAAGTAAAACAGTTGGGAATTTCTTATCAAATTAGAAAAATCTAAGCAGTAAAGATTACTCACTTATTCTAAGTCATTGTTTTCACCATTGCTATCCAAATCTTCCCTTCATTAAGCAATCAGTAAGTGCTTTATATTGTACCAAGCACTTTGGAGAAGAATAAAACACATTCCTTGCTTTTATGTACCTCATCTCATCGTCCAGTAGGGTAGATAAATATGTAACAAAACAATAAGATAAAGGAATGTTCAAAAGAATTACAGAAGACAGCAAGTCACTCCACGGGACAAATGGTATTTGCACAATGCTGACCTTTGTCAATACTCCTCTATGTCAAACTCTCACCTAACTGCCTTACTGAACAAATGCTTACCAGTCAGGTTAAGCAACTACACAACGACTATTTGAAGAAGGCAATGTCATTATCCCTACATCACAGATGAGAAGAAGAGTTTGGGGAAGGTGTTTTAGATGAAGGAAGCAGCATATATAAAGGCCCAAGCATGTATAAAACATACTCCAAGAAGAATGTAGGTTAGACTGGTAATAACATTAAAACATTCATAGCAATAGAAAGATCTGGTTTCAAAAAAAAATGTGGGGGAGGGGGAACTACCCACTCCAGCCCCCTCCCCCCGTCCCTCTCTCAGACAGGAATTTTCTTTCTCTCAATAAATATATTCTGCTCATAAAAAAGAAATAATTAAATGCCAGGTGGTCAGGAGATACAGCTCAGCAGCACAGCTGAACTGCCTGGCAAGCACTAGATCCTGACTTCCATTTCCCATACAAGCAAAAAAGACCAGGCTTACGCCTGTAATCGCAGCACTCAGAAGCCTGATTCAGGAGGATTGCTACAAATTTGAGGTTGGCCTGGGCTACATGGTGAGTTCAAGGCCAGCATGAACTACATATTTAGACTCCATCTTAAAAAAAAAAATGAAATAGAGGGCTGTAGAGATAGATCAGTGGTCTAACCATCTGCCTGGCAAGTGCAAGGACCTGAATTTTATCCCTGGTACTGTGCCACAGGGGGGCACCATGCCAGCCCTGAAACCAGGCATGGTAGCACATGCCTGTAATCCCAGCGCTGGGTAGGCTGAAACAGGAGGACTACTATGAGCCTGAACTGCATAGTAAGACCCCCTATTAAATAAATAAATAAATATAAATTGTATTTTTTAAAAAAGGATGGCTAAGAATGTTGCTTAGTGAAAAATCCCTGAGTTTAAATCACAGTACTCCAAAAATATTTTTAAAAAAGAAAGATAAAGGCAAAGAAAAGAAATAAAAGGAGCTTAGAAGGACACATGTGAAACAAGCATGATGACACATGGCTATAATCCCAAGGCAAGAAAACTTTGAGGTTGAGGTGATCCTGTGGTATGAGTCCCAGGACAACTGGGCCCAGAGAGACCATGTGAAAAGAAAAGGGTGATAGTACATGAAGAAAGGAGACAGCAAGTATTTACACTTTTCAACGAGATATTATGAAACAAAGGCAAAACCTAAACAGCTACTAGAAACTCCTGTGTATAGAAAAGAATGGTTTTATTAAGGAATGATATTACAGAATATAAAAATTTGGATCTCATGGATAATAATGTTTAAAATGTAAAGGAGAGAAATGACAGTTGTAAACACCTAAAAGTTGTAAAAGAACAGCTACATGGGAAACTGAAAGGAAAGGAGACCTCACATAGAAAAACTGCTGTTGTACAGGTACCACAGACAAGTCATCTACTACAATAAGTAGAAAATTTAATACAGGTGGCCACACATGAAAGTGCTATTTTGATTACTTCTCATTTTTTCAAGGAAACATGAGGCAAAAAGAAACTGGGTAAGTGAACTGACTGGCAACACATGCTAACAGACAAATCTGGACACTATGCACATGCTATTAGTCAGCCTTCATGGGCATGTAAGTTGGTCAAAAGTCATTTTTGGCCATCAGCCCAGATAGAAAGCAAGTACAGACGAATGACATATAAGAAATGAGAAACTATAGCACTCATACCTAAGTGTTATTCATTCATTCATTCAAATAAACAGTTCTGATTCATCCAGTCTTCCATAAATACTTTAGGCAGGGGTACTGGCAGAGTCAAAATAACTAAGTGCACGTGGACATCATGTTCTAACACAGGGGAAAGGGCATAAGCTTAGGGTAGCAATGTGTCAAGGCTACCCTTAACAGGGTGTGATTCTGGAGGTAACAAGTAATGTGGCTGTGACAATCACATATAATATGGGCAGTGGAGCTGGCACTTCTCATCTACATTGTGCAGCGTTACGAGCAGAATTTGAAAAATTAATTTTTGAGAATGTTAAAAAAAATAGTTACGGGCTGGTGAAATGGCTCAGTGGTCTAAAGCACCTACTTAGAACAAGCTTTGCAAAGCACAGGGACCACGGTTCAATCCCCAGCACCACATGCTAGCCAGCCCTGCCCCCTGGTGGGCTGAGCTGGCCACACACACACACACACACACACACACACAAATAAAAAAAATAAAATAAAAAATAGTTACTAATGAACCAGAGGCACAGCTAGCTCAGTGTAACTGCCTGCCTAGTACAATCAAAACCTGTGTACAGTGTACAAACATACACACACACACACTCAGTCTGCTGTGTTGGGCATAGAGCAACCCCACACTACCCTAATCTAACAGACTGGTCTTTGAGATGTGTGTGTATTTATAATGCCTCTCTGGGCAGAAAAGGTCACACTCAGGATGTCCAAGTGCTACAGAAAAAGGGTTTTACCAGACAAAAGGGAGTAATGCAGTATACCCACCAAAGATGTCTCCAAGTTTCCTAGTCTGGAGCAAATGTTTGAATTTAGTTGGGCCAACTGACTACAGGTGGGATGGGGGAGGGGCAACTGACAATAGAAGGGCCAGAAGGGTGTTCCCTGTGGCCTGCTGAGGAAGGGAGAGAGGTTTTGAATCCCTTAACAAGGCACACTCCTGCTTTATAGAGTTTGGGGTCCTTCATGCCACATCCTTCTGTCATTTCAAAAGGAGCTTAGCTAAGGAACACTGGAATTGATACTGAAAGAGGAAGTCACCGAGAATGGAAACTGAAAGAGCTCAGAGAGATCAGATAGACTAGGATGAGGCCCAGCCTGAAAGCTAATCTGTCAGAGGTGGGAAGTAAGTGCTGTGTGTGTAACCAGGGTAGATCTGAGAAGAATCCGTGTGTGTGAGGGTCTGAGTATCAGGAAGAGCTGGCGCTGATGGACACAAGACCCCACTGCATCAACTGATTCATGAGGAGCATGTCAGCGATGGCCTCAGGGAGAAACAGTATCTCCTTCCCACTTTCTCTGCAGAGAGCCCCTGTGGTTTTGTATGTGGCTAGGAGTCTGCTTCAGACTTGGGCTCTCCTGATGGTGGCCCTGAGGCCAGGGCTAGTGCCAGGAGATTTGTGTGTCAAATTGGTGACCATGTTGCTTCTCGGGATAGTTCTCTGCCCAAGCATCCACTGTCACCGGGGACCAGTGTATTACTCTTCCTATGAAATAGTCGTCCCCAGGAGTCTGACAGTCAAGGGAAGCGAAGCCCCAGGGGAAAAGACCACTTACCTGCTGCTTATGCAAGGCCAGAAGCAGCTAGTTCACCTGAAGCCAAAGAAAGACTATTTGGTGGATGATTTTCCAGTCTACAGTTACCACAATGGCACCCTGGGGCAAGAAATCCCTTCCATCTCACATGACTGTCTCTATGAAGGCTACATAGAAGGAGCACCAGGTTCGTTTGTGTCTGTCAGTACCTGTTCAGGTCTCAGGGGCATCCTGATTAAGGAGGAAAGAGCCTATGGCATTGAGCCCATACCATCCTCCAAGAAGTTTGAGCATGCGCTATACACCACAGCACATCAGGCTCCAGTCTCCTGTAAGGTCTCTGCCAAAGACAGCCAAGCGGTGTCCACCAGCTGGCAGCCAGGGAGCGGGAAGCCTCCCGATCTACAGGCTCTGTCCTCCTTGTGGTCACACACCAAGTACGTGGAGATGTTTGTCGTGGTCAACAACCAGCGGTTCCAGATGTGGGGCAGTGAGGTCAACGAGACAGTGCAGAGAATAGTGGACATCATTGCTCTGGCCAACGTCTTTACTCGAGGAATAAACACAGAGGTGGTGCTGGCTGGGATGGAGATTTGGACCGAGGGGGACCTGATAGAGGTGCCAGTGGACCTGCGAGTCACACTCAGGAACTTTAATCGCTGGAGACAAGAGGAGCTGTTCCCTCGTGTGAGGCACGATGTCGCCCACATGATCGTTGGGCATCATCCTGGCGAGACCTCGGGTCAGGCATTTCTCAACGGAGCCTGTTCCAGTGGCTTTGCGGCGGCTGTCGAAGCCTTCCATCACGAAGATGCTCTCCTGTCTGCAGCGCTCATGGCCCACGAGCTTGGGCACAACCTGGGTGTCCAGCATGACCACTCAGCCTGCGTTTGTAGAGATAAGCACTTCTGCCTCATGCAGGAAAATATCACTAAAGAGAGTGCCTTCAGCAACTGCAGCTCTGACTACTTCTACCATTTCCTTCATGAGCACAGAGGGGCCTGCCTATTTAACAAACCACAGCAAAAAGGCCGCAGACGCAGGGATGCCAATTGTGGAAATGGCGTGGTGGAGGATCCAGAGCCATGTGACTGTGGGACTAACTGTGAAAACGATGCATGCTGTGACAGTAATTGTCAACTGAAAGGAGATGCAAAGTGTGGTAATTCACTCTGCTGTTCTAATTGTAAAATACAAACCAGGGGCCATATGTGTCGTCCTCCTCAGGGACCATGTGACCTCCCTGAATACTGTAATGGTATTTCTGCAATATGCCCTGTAGACAGATATAAGCAAGATGGTACACTATGTCATGAGCAAAGTGTTTGTTTTGAATCTAAGTGCACAGACGCTAGTATTCAATGCTCCATCTCTTTTGGGCCTGGTTCAAGGGCTGCCCCAGATGCATGTTACTCTAAATTGAACACTGTTGGGAATATATTTGGAAATTGTGGCCGCTCTGGTTCTCCATCCACCTATGTTAAGTGTACAGCTCAGAATGCAAAGTGTGGGAAACTCATATGTTCAAAAATTATTTTATTGCCGCCAATCAATAATGCAATGATTCAGATCCCAAGTGGAGATGACTGGTGCTGGAGCATGGGCAACTCTGAGGATGATTCCTCCAATGCAGGAACTGTGACAAAGGGCACGCCTTGTGCTGCAGACAAAGCTTGTGTGAACTCCCAATGTACTGATTTCCATCTTGAGGAAGCCAATTGTAGTGCAATTGAAATGTGTAATGAGAATGGTGTTTGCAACAATTTAGGGCACTGCCACTGTGAAGATGGTTTTGCTCCCCCTGACTGCAGATCACAGGGAAGTGGGGGTAGTTTGGACAGTGGTCCCCCTGGTAAGCCAAGCATTGAATCAAATGAAGAAGAAAATGAACTAAACTTACCATTAATTGCCCTTATAATTTTGATAGTACTAATACTACTTATAATTCTCTTGGGTGTCCTCTCTCATAAATCTGGTGCTGCACCAGCAGAAGCTCCTCCAGAAAAGGTTCCACCAGCAGAGGTCCCAGAAGCAGAAGCCCCTCCACAAGAGGCGGAAGAAGGGGAAGAAGAAGAGGAGGAGGAAGAGGAGGAAGAGGAGGAGGAAGAAGAAGAAGAAGATGATGATTAGAATGAGAAGTGGTGGGAGGGCAAAGCCAAATACGCCAAACTCGTCAAGTGCTGACTTGGAATGAGAAGCTCATGGAAGTAAAAGTTAAGTGAGAAGTGAGGACTCCAATGGCTGTGACAGGGACTCTATCATCTAAAAAATGTCCTATTGTGAGAGGAGATATACCTCCACATTTATTACTCATTTTAGTAAATAAGTTCTTGCTCACTTAATATATTAAATATTTTAGTATTTTTTTCTTGTTTCACATTTCATTTAAACTCATTATATACATTTTTGGACATTAATGTCCTTGTGTCCTTGGGCTTATTTTTTTCACTTACCAAAAACTTTTTCAGGACATGGTATCTTCCATGTAAGTGGTCTGACGCATAGTAGTATTTGTTCCTGAATTTATTAATATCTATGGGGTTTTCATTTCTTATGACAATAACCTATTTTTTAAGAACAACTGTTTGTGTGACTGATTGTTCTAACTTGAGCTATTAAGTGTACATTTCTTGAGTTTTTACATCCAAAAATAAAACTATTCAAGTTAGTCATGTTTTCAGTTCTGTGTGGTGTGTAATCATTGAGTCCATTTTGTTTTGCAGCCATGTAGGAAGTGTGCATCTGATAAGGAATAGCACCCTATTTTTAATTTATTATTTTAATTAAATAACTTTTTTTTTCTTTTTGCAGAACCAGGGATTGAACTCAGGCCCTTGCACTTGCCAGAGAAGTGTTTATTCCACTGAGCCATCTCCTTTAAATAAATAACTTGTTAACTAACACTCAGACGGAACCTTTTTCAGTACAAGTAACAGAATTCTAGAGGTAGAAGTTACTTCTCAGGGAAGAGGGCATGAGACAAATATAATATTAACATATTAATTTGGTGCTAGGCATTGTGTTAACCATTTTGAGGGCTGAGGAATATAGCTCAGTGGTAGGGCTCTTGCCTACCATAACTGAAGCTTGGATTTGACATTCACTGCTGCCATAAACAAAATTTCTCAATTTTCTAATGAAACATACATCTTGTACATGAAGAAACAGAGGTCAAATATTGGGTTCTCAAAGTAGACAATAAGTCATATAACCAGCATTCCTCCCTAATATGCCGGAAGTTATGATCTCCCTTCCTCTTGAAACTTTTCCTTCAGCTGAAAGAGCAGACATTTGCTATAGCTTTAATTGCTTAGAATTAAGTGGTGGCAAACCTATGGCACATGGCTATTATATTTTTAAGGCAAGAGGTGTTAATGTATGAGTTCTTTTTTCTAAACTAAAAACTCAGTCTTCAGGTTTAATTGCAATGTTGGTACTTTGAGGGTTTGTGGTTGAAGTTCAGTACTTGGTGTCCAAGTTTGTCATCACTGGCCTAGAACATGGCTTCTTAGTGACTACTGAAACAGAAAAGACAAATGCAGAGCTTGCCACATTGTGTAGTCATTATGGATTAAAGTGTCTTTCCCCTACTAAACCTGATAGTATAGAGTGGTAATTTGGTATCATTGTTTGGTTCTATGGGTTCAACTTATTGTAGATATTTAATAAATGCTGATTCAGGGGATAAATTAATCAAAGCAAACTTTAAAAAACTGGGGAAGCTGAATATGATGTCATATGCTTTGTGGTTTTACCAACTCAGGAGGCTGAGGCAGCAGGATGGATTAAGCTCAGGATTTCTATGTGAGCCTGGGAAGACAGTAATGTAGTGGGACCCTACTTGAAAAAAAATGAGGCAATATCCATACTATCAGAAGGATACTTCTTGTTAGTACATAAACAGTGTTTGATAAAAATTTTTCTTGGATATAATATTGTTCATTTTATAAGCCATGAAGTTGTAAAATGTTTATAAAACCCCAACCATCAGTCAAAGAATGCTGAAGCACAATTGGATAGACCATAGCACAGAAGAACACGTATGTTCCAGTAATCTGTGTTGGTAAATTCTTAGGACCCAGCCAGGTGCTTCCCCACAGCCCTGATGGTGACTTCTTGTACCTTTACCCTACGTTCTTCTCTAGACTACTTTTGTCCTTTCTGCTGCCTCAGGACAGTGGTGGTGCATGTACTTCTCTCAGTTGCCCAAAGCACATATCCAGGCTGTAGATATTTCTCCAGATTTGAAGGGAAGAAAGGGAAATTATAGTGTGGGAAAAACATTTTTAGATGTTGCAGGTATTACTGTTCCTGTAGTCATGCTCTACTCCCACCTCCCTTTATCAGCCATTTCTTTTTAAAAGAATTTTATTTATTTATTTATTCATTCAGTGTGTGTGTGTGTGTGTGTGTGTGTGTGTGTG